ACCCTGACAACCGATCAGACAATACTTTTAAGTTGACAAAAAGCCTAAAGGTATACTGAATGATGCTTAATAGCTAATAGATACATTTGTCTTTTAAAATACAATTGTCATGTAAGAATGGTAATGATGCTATGTGGATAAAATCGGTTTGCAAGAGCTAAATTGTCTGCACGTCATCCCTACAATGGCTTCCAATTTCGCGATTGAAAAAAATAGGTGGCGCAATGGGGAGATGATTTTGACGAATAAGAATCCTGACTGTTCTATAATTGAAAAGTATGATTTTCAAGAGCACCGTGGTATTAAAAATGAAACCATGAGGCTTCATTAAACTTTGGAACAAGCATAATTTATGAACAGTATATTCCGGTAGAATTCATGACATATCAAAAGTAATGTCGCGATCAGAATGATTTTGGCATCGTCCATTACCGCTGAACTAGTATACATTATTGTTTGGGGACCAGCTGAAGCCAGCTTCCTGATGCGGTTTTTTCTTGTTGTGTTGAAGACCCATTGGTGATCTTGGGCTGTTTTCTGCTCTTTTGTCTGGTTGTTGTCTTTTTGACACATTCCCCGTTTCCTTTCTCAAATATAAACAATAATAGAACAAAACGAAGGACACATGCGATTATAAAAAACGTATAAATATAGATGTGCACAACACGTGTTTCTGATATGACCTTTAACCCTATCTTCTTCCAGTTTGTTCGACATCAAAAGTTTCGACAGTCAAATACAATTTGGAGAGCACAATGAATAAAAGGCAAAAAAAAAAGATCAGGCAAAATCAATAAAGGTAAACTGCTTAAAGTTGAAACCTCAGATGTAGCACAATAGTATAATTTTAAAATGTAAAGTTACAGACAAAACGTATCATTTGAATTATGCCAATAACGAAGCACTGGCTACTGGTACCCTAGGATACTGAGATAGTCCACTAGCAGTGATGCCCACCCTTCCCTTTCCCCAAAGATCTAGTAAAACGTTTATTCTCGTTCTAACTTGATAATGATCCGCCATAGGTATATTTAGAACCCAGTGAACCAAGTCCTATAGAGATCAATAACTTTATAGTTAGTATCTTTTACCTTACTGTCACCATTCCTTAGTTTGAATACTGATTCGTATAAAAGATAACATGAATCACCAAAATTTTTATGACAGTACAACAGATCACATCAACTCCTGCCTCATTTAAAAAGATAGATATACAAACCAAGAACAAAACCGAACAACACATGATACACCTATTTTTTTTCCATTATCCATACCTGCCTACTTTTCAAAATCTCCACGCTGTTATTACCATAAGTGTTTTTAATCTACTTCTAAATTGTTTGAATGAATATGTGTGTGCTTAATTACCCTTTTAACTCATTTTAATGTCTGTTTTGAGGTGTTCAAGTTATAAAATAAAGAATTTCAAAATTCAGGTGGAGACCTCTCGTGGGGGATATCCCCCATAAATCGGAATAGTTGGCAGGTCTGATTATCAATCTTAATATAGCAGCATATTCGTATAATTTGACTTTTTCCAGATTGTGTCCTATTCCCTAACGTGACATTTCATTTTATTTACTTTTGTTATTCTCTATTTTCATAGACGCATGTTTCTGGAATAACCTCCAGGAGATGACCTCCAGAATTGCACAACGCATGTTTCTGAAATAACATTCATGCAAACCAGAACAAATGTTTTCAAAAGCAAACATATAAAACGTTACCGAGATACTAAGTTTTATTCCTATGACACAATTTCATAAAAATTTGAAGATTTCAGACAAAATATTTCATTTGAATTATGTCAATGAATACCTGTAAAGACCATAGAATTTTTTTTTAAAAATCAACAAGTTTCTTAGTCATAGAAAAATATTTCCAATAGAAAACAAATTATGTTGGCCAATGGTACATTTAGTGGCAGCATATATTGATACATGAGACGCGTGTTCGAAAATTAAATTCTAGTAGGTTGTACTTTGAACCAATAATTCGAAGTCCGGAATCATCAAATAAACGGTATTTTCGTTTCTATTAGTTACTGTTAATAATAAGTTGGCAATGTTAACACATCTTTTCGAACTTCTCCCGCGTTGTATTACGTTAAACTTTGCTTATTTTCAAAACTTAAATACCATGCATATTTATTTTTTTTTTTAAAGAGTTGAAATTATGAAGATAGTCTGCGCAGAAAATTCTTGTACTTTTCATAAACGTAGAATAATTTCCTTCGTAGCTGAAAAAAATGCTCACAGATTCATTCAAACATGACATTTTATAACTATAAAATACCATGAATTAATCATATACGATAATTTTGATAGTTTTTTTTTTTTAATCATTCGTCTCTATATTTTCTGTTCAAAACATTTTATATTTGTATATATGTTTTATCATTTTTTGATTCTTCTAACGTTCGGTTGTGTTCTGTTTAGATATTTGTTTTATTGGGTTTTTTTTTCGTAGGAGTAGACAAATATCTTTATTAATGCAGCTCGCTTTTTTATTTAGGACCTTTTCAAATCCTTAAATGAAGCATCAAACCTTAACGAGATACAGACGATTGACCTTTGAAATGATCTCTGAGTATATTGACCTCTCAGAAAGATTCCCGTCTGGGTAATTTTATTTACTTGAATGTCCAAGATTACGGTTATTCTCTTAAATCCCATAACATTACTTACAGTTCGAATCTTAGCCGTTATTAATGCTCAATTACACTTTTTCAGAAAAAATCAGCGTTTCCAAGATTACGGAGGACAAAAACGGAGTGCAAATGCACCACGTTGAATAAGAAGAAAAGGCGTAGGTTTGATACAGCAAGGGGTCACTAATAACGCTGTCAACTTCATTTAAATCAGACAACATATAGCGATGGTTAGAATATAAAAAAAAACAATATTCATGTTATTTGTTCCAAGTCCATCAAGGTCTTTCATATTCTTGATAATTACAAGATCTTGGGTATACATTTGTTTTTGTCTAAGTAAATCAATCAAAATAAGCAAACTCTCTGGAGCCAGAGAATCATAATAGAACCAAATTGCATAATGGTTTATATACAGGCACTTCATGATAATTCATTGTCGTAAATTATTACTATTTTGTAAAGGTCAAGCATGTATATTATGCGTTGAGGATGCTTTAAATTATTTCTTGTAATATAACCCAATCTCGTTTCGATAGAGTGACACGCTCTCAAAAAGCTACAGAATCCTTGTAAAGCACTTTCAGGGTTCTGTACGCGACTTGGTTGCAAGACCAAATTTCTTCTCCTATCTAACATCTTCTCTTTTTCAAGTTGAAATTCAAATTTCCTACGCTTCATACCACTTTGTTTGACCCAATTTGTAGAACATGTATATTAGATTTATTGTTAATTTGTTCTCGTCATGAATGAAATATATAATCTTTGGATATTTGACCTCAATTCCATATTTTTTTCTATTTCATTTATCATATATCACAATCTTTTGTTCACATTAATGTTCATGAGAACATATGTTAACACAAGCTACCCCACCTCTCCCTCAATCCAAAGCGAGACAACCCTTGGACACTGTATAATTACACTAATTTGTATCTGGGTAAAGGAATCATAGCTATAATTGAACGTGTGATTTTTAAGAGAACCATAGTGTTAATACTGAAATGATAAGGCTTCATTATACATCGGAACAAGCATAGTATCATATAATTCGGTAGAATGTATGACACGTTATATTTAACGTAATGTCCCGATCGGCATTGCCTCGGCACTTTCCGCCTTCATTCGAGTGTTGTTCGATGGGTCAGGTCAAATATAATATATATATTCTTGAATATAACATTAACTTTCAATACGGTTCGTAAACCTTTTTTTAGCATGGTTAGTTGAGGAAATACAGGCAACAAATAAAGGAAACATACCGTTGAAAAAATATGATACCCATGTTCACAGCACGTGTTTCTCGATTGACCTTCATCAACAGTCAAACACAAAAAATTGGAAGAGCACAATAACAAAAATGCTAAAAAATATTAGGAATAATAAATTAAGGTATACTGGTTAAAAGAGTTAAAACCTCGCATTTAGCCTAATTTTATGAATGTATCATTTGAATTATGCCAACGAAACACTGGCAACTGATACCCTAGGGTACTGAGATAGTCCACCAGCAGCGGTGCCTACCCCCACCCCTCAAGTTGTAGTTAAACGTATATGATTTTCGTGCGAACGTTACGTGCTTTTTTAAATAACAGTCATTGGGATACAATCCGTCGTAGGTATATTCAGTACCAGTGAACTAAGCCCTTATGGAGATCACATTACTTTAGGGTTAGTGTCTTTTACCTTAGTATCACTAATCCTTGACTTAAATACTGATACATAACAAGGATAACAGGAATCACCCAAATGTATTGGACAGTAAAACAGACCACTACAACCACTAACACCTGACTCATTCAAACAGATAGACTTACAAAAAAAAAAGAAAAACATCAACGAACAACACATGACCCAGCTAGTTTTTTTCCATTATCAGTCTTAATATAGCAGAATAGTCGTATAATCTGAATTTTTTTCTAGATTGTGTCTTACTCCCTAACGTGACACTTTGAAACTGTATTTTCATAGCGGGTGGTACATTAATATAAGGAGACTCTTATCCTGTCGACGCATCTGATCCCTCTCCCTTTGGAGTTCGTTCGAACTTAAGGTTGTTCACCTTTTTTGTTAATTCACGATTGATTTAGGAAATAAAAACATTCAAAGTTGCCTTTATATAAAGAAACTCTGATATGAACCTCATGCGTTTGTGTACCATGGGAGAAATATTCACAGTTATTAATAGTCTTTCAAACACGAGTATGTTTCGCGGCTATAGATATATCTCACATGTATATGTCTCCCATTGTGCCTTTCGGTGAGATTGTAGCTACGCAACACCCTCTCATTTGAAATGCAGTCGATAATCTATAACTAAAAGTATATTTAGCTATAAGTCTGATGTTACTTATTTTTCAAATCGTTTTATTAAGTCGTTCGGTTACTGTAATTGACATTTATCCCACATAACCTTTTATTTAAGTTTGCATTGCTTCCTGTTATTTTTTCCTACTATTTACATTGACAACTACCTAGTTGATTGCTAGAAGCCTTCCGAATGACCCCCATTCCATTCTGATGTACAATAGTGTGGGTTCAACTTATATTAACTATAATTATGTTAATAAGTAGATTTGATCTGATATTACTATTTTGATCATGTTTGATATACTTGTAATAAGAGAAGATCAAGTGTGTTGTTCGCCGTTTGTTTTGCAAGCTACTCTAGCAGTTGTTGTAAACTGTTTTATATGTTTTCGTGTTTTCTAATCTCAATTTCCAAATAAGGCTCTATTTCATATGAGACGTCTGCTCCGCTATCTACAGTATTGTCAACGAAGTTCCTCAAGTAAGAACAATCGGGAGATAATTTCCGATGGAGTTTCATAGGTTGTAAGCAGTTTTGAATGTTTGCTAAACCGAGGTTACAAGAATGGCATATGACATCTTCTGCTATTCCACAGTAATAAAAACCAGCTTCAGTAAAACGATTGATGACGTCATCATCGATGCAATAACTTGTTTCTGCGTTTAAAATCTGTTTGAAAGATTGTACTCTACCTTCTATAGTCTTCAAATCCTCATTGCAGATTTTTGTCGAATGTCCGCTTGACACGTCCACATTTTTACTGAGAATGAAAGTGCAGTTTTGATAGTATTTTTTTATGAGCAACCATTGGATCTGCATCAGAATTCCAAGATCTAATGCAGCCGCCACAACTAAAACACTGGACATAATCTGAAGTATGAAGGTTAAAAAATCCGGCTCTAGATAATTTGATACGAAACTCCTTGACCTGAATTGGAAAGTCTTCAAATGTATCCACACGAGATTGAAAAGTTTTAAACTTGGGAAAACATATAGATTCCCTACCTTCTTCACGTTTTTTCGCGTTATTCTGTTTAAAAGGATTTAATGAAAGCTCGCTTGATTCATTGTGTTTAATTCCATTCCGTCTATAATGATACCAACTCTGTTTACAAACATTTTTTCGTAAAATTTCAAAAATTTCGAACAGATCTGAATTTAGTTGTTTGTTTATTTGTAATCCTTCCAGGTCAAACCTTTTTATATCGCAAATTCTTATGAATCTAAACTGTTTCTGATGAAATAGACTATTATACAGATTCAAAAGACAAATCGGTTGTGTATTGCCAATACCCAATAAAGTGTTTATATGAAAGTTTACTTTGTCATCGTGTATATCTAGCCCCCATCCACGTAAAACATCCATTGCAATCTTGTCTTTTTGTCGCAATTCTTCTTCCATTTCAATTATTCGAAGATGTAAAACTTTTCCAAATACCTGACAGAACAGTTCTAACCTTGCATTGCCTTTATCTGAAGGGTCAGATTTTCTAAGTGCAAGACGAAGTTTAGACCAGTCATCATCCCATGCCTGGAAAGGGATCACAGAACTTAAACAAAATGGCAGATCTACTTCATCTGATGTTATAACTGGTATCATATCAACATGTAAGTTTTTGTTTAAAATAAAGCTAACAGCTGTATTCACTACACTCGTGAATTGGTCATCTGAAACGGGAGACAGGATTATTACAAGCTTTGAAATACATCTGAGGCAGTTTTGTAAGGTGTTGTTGTAATCCTGACCCGGTAGAAAATCTATGTTTGAATTTATGTTGTAAAATCCATCCCTTTTTAAATTTTTAATGAATATTTTTGTCCATTCTTTGTTCGATGACTTCTCACTGCACAGGCAAAAAATAGGTACTTCTTCAGGCTGTAATGTTGCTTTCTGTAGGATTAACTCTAGATCGACATTCATCTTTGACCTACTGCAATATTAAAATTAGTAACTATTTAAGAAAGACATAAAAAACAACACATAAGAAATTTCGTGCGTCCGCTGTGCATTTACGGATCTGCCTTCACAAGAAACGCTTAAATCGAAACATATGAGTCTTGTGACCAATAAGCTGTTTGATTATCTATAAAACTTTGACTTGATGACATATAAAGCCCTATCTTTTGCAGTTCATCAAAGATTAGAATAAGAATGTGTAGAAAAACATGAAACATGCTTCAAATAAACTCATCATAGATACATGTACTAGACTTAAAACTGTGTACGCCAGACGCGCGTTACGTCTACAAAAGACTCAACAGTGTCACCCGAATAAAAAAAAATTAAAAAGGTCAAATAAAGTACGAAGTTGATGAGCAATGAGAACCCAAAATTCGGAAAAGTATGAAAAGTGAAAGAAAAGTAAACTTATAAAGTTAATAGATTTAAATTTCATTGTCTGTAGGACATTTATCCTCTTACATATTAAAACTTGTAAAATCACATGAAAGATACTGAAATGTACTGTTTCAAATACTTTAACAGTATAAAGCTATTTTTTTCAAGTCATTTATTTTGAAATGTCTAAAATTTCTAATAAACATAAGCTTATGTTCAAATCTTAATCCAGAATATTCATTTGAATACTAGAACATTTTTGTTTAGATATGTTCGAGCTGGAAATAATCCGATGTTCACCAATTCTTTGCCTCTTGTCCTTTTCTTGTTATCATGTTTATCATTTTGATGGCATTTTCTATATTTTCAGGCTTCTTTTTTTATTTATTTTTGGGTGTTAACTGAGGTTTGATATACTTTCTTGTGGCTGTGATACTTTTCCCCAAAAAGAAACCACAACCGAAATGACTTTTCAGATTTAAATAAAATTAGCTTCTTATTTCGTTTTGCTACTTATGTAGATATAGGAAGATTTTAAAAAGTAAAATAACAAAAAGTCCGAACTCCAAGGAGAATTCAAAATGGAAAGTCCTTTATCAAATGGCAAAATCAAAAGCTGAAACACATCAAACGAATGGAAAACAACTCTCATATTCCTGACTTAGTACAGGCATTTCCTTATGTAGAAAATGGTGTATTAATCCTGGTTTTATAGCTAGCTAAACCTCTCACTTGTATGACAGTCGCATAGAATTCCATTATATTGACAACAATGTGTGAGCAAATCAAACAGACATAATAGATACAAATGTCAAAAATTGGGGTACAGCAGTCAACATTGTGTTATAATCTTAATCACTATAAAAACAAATAACTATTTCAACAAAGAAAAACAAAATGACATATAAACAAAGTACAAAGAAAAAAATGAAAGACAAGACTATAAAAATTTACCATAGCAAAATAACATAATGGTGGGATGTATAAATACCGAGCCACGCCAAAAGTACATTACCAAAAATGGACTAAACAGTAAAGGTTAAAAATACACAAAGAAAAATATAAAGAACAATATAACACGTAATTAAGATGATAAACAACGTCAGTACCTAGAATCTATACTTCAAGACGATCATGTGTTATTTGTGAAGTTGATACGGAATATTTTTCAACTAGGTCTTGTTATCTTCCGATGAAATATTTTAGAAAAAAGAACTAGACGTTCTTTGACATAACCCTGGTTCATCAACTTTCTGATCAGACACTGGTGACGTTTTATAAAGTCTGAGTAGCAGCTGCAAGCTCTTGAATACCGAATGAGTTTGGAAATGTATATCCCATATGCAGGTGAAGCTAGTATATTGCTGCTAAGGTGGGGGAAAGTTATAATTTTGAAATTAAAATCGTCTCGCTTGTCATAGATTCTGGTACTGAGATGACCGCTTATGTCAAATTCGAGAGATAAGTCTAAAAATGAGGCGGAGGAAGCCGTGTCTTTTGTTTCTTTATTTTCTAGTTTAGGGGGACATATTAATGGAACTCAATCAGAAAAGTTTGGATTGTTAATGGAAAGAACATCATCTATAGATCTGAATGTGAAATAAAATGATCTGGTTTCTTTGATCTTCTTGTTTTTGACAAGTGTCTGAAGGAACTCCGACTCATATGAAAATAGAAGAGGTCGGCAAGTAGAGGCACATAGTTCGTTCCCATAGGAATCCCGACAATTTGATGAAAAAGTCTACCTCCAAATTCAACAAATATGTAGTAAATAAGAAACTCCATCATACTGATCACTTGTTCCTCTGTGTAGAACGTTTTGCCTTTTTCTTCACTATTAACAAAATATGCCGTATGGTATCCCAAAGCAATAGATTTGTAGCGTATGGTACCATTTTGTATATTGAAAAGCATTGTGGATTATTTCTTTTACACGTTTTTTCAATTTCAAATGAGGAATGGTGGTAAAAAGGGTTGAAAAATGAAAAGGTTTCATAGAATTATTTTCAGAGAAAGATCGAGATTTAAAATTACCTAGAAGTTCTTTACAGTTTTTTTAGGATCCACATTATGATTAATACCATTACGCGAGTAAACAGTTTCACAGTATTTCTGAAGAACTTCTTTCACTGCAGACAGAATTTTTGTCAATCCAATAGACAATTCCTTTATAAAACATGCAGATGAGCCGGCAATGTACCGTTGTGAGGCTTAGGTATATATCCAATGCAAACAAGGTAAATGTAAGTCCTCAGATTTGCTGTTCAATGTAATGTTCATTGCCATGAAGGACTTATGATTCACAAAAATATCATCATTGTCAAACCATACTGTCGCTTGAATTTAACAAGACATAAACAACTTATTTAGAGTGCATTTATTTCCAATATAAATTTGTTTTCAACGACATTGGCTCGGTATTAAAACTGCAACTATTGTGATGTTTCTTGTAAAGATTTTAACTGCAAAACCTGCCGCGGTGATTTCAGATGGTAAATTGGTCGGAACTACAAAACTATAAGTTACTTGTTTTTCTGCTTTGTATCGATATGATGAGTTAATCACTCATCAACTGATTTTTATAGTTTGTTCTTATGTTGTACTGTTACACCACTGTCCCAGGTTAGGGAAGGGTTGGGCACCCGCTTACGTGTTAAACCCCGCCACATGCTCTGTCCCAAGTAAGGAGCCTGTAATTCAGCGGTTGTCGTTTGTTGCTGTATTCATATTTGTATTTCGTTCATTGTTTTTACATAAATCAGGCCGTTAGTTTTCTCGTTTGAATTGTTTTACATTTGTCATTTCGGGGTCTTTTATAGATGACTATGCGGTAAGGGTTTTGCTCATAACTATCATTTGCTATACGGTGACCAATAGTTGTTAAATTATATGCCATTTGGTCTCTAGTGGAGAGTTGTCTCATTGGCAATTATACCACATCTTCTTATTTTTTATATATACGAGTAGAAGGACATTTCAGTAATTAGAAAAATATCCGTGTTGAAAATATAAAATAACACTTTAACTTTAATAATGCTTTATATATTTGGTGCGTACGAAGTGCTTTTCTTGATTTAACTTCACTAGGAACGCTCAAACACAAAAATTAGGAAGAAGAAATAAAAATTTTAAAGTAGAGGATATGTGTTTACCTGTTGTGACTTCCGGCTATACCAGTTCATTGTAAAATGTGTGTATTTTTGACATACTTATAGTATCATTGTAAATTGTAGAGAAATGAACAAAACTTTAAGGCATATACCATCATTAATCGAACATAAAAATTATACAAATTGATTATTTAAACTTACAAAGCAGCAATAGTATATCGTCATTCACCTGACCACATGAATAATTAATTGTTTTTGACTGATAAAATATTAAGCGAAGGATCATGTTTCATAATTGCAGCGTGTGGCAAAGTAAGAATGTTTTATGTGTATAAGTATGAGGTTTCATTGGGCCTATCAATACAGTATAACAATTACATGGTCGACCGCTATGACTGCATCTTAATTTATACCTGGACTTTGAGTATTTAAACTTATTTGACATAATACCGCTATATTTATACTGTTATTTCCATCCGACTTTATTGGGCCTTCCACAGCAACTATAATGTTTGACTAAAGGGTGCAGAAATATAAGTTCGACCTCTCCCATCTGGCAGTTAAACCATGTTTAAGTGACCCTTTTAGTTGTCCATGATATAAGATAACTTTATTAGTACTAACACATTAACAATAAATGGTTATGGCAACAAAATACAGACAAACTACAATAACATATATGTACTCAGCATATGTACAATGAAGGAGTGACAGTGGATAAGTATGAGAAAAATATAAAACATCAAGTATCTTTTGACAACGAGTTTCTTACCAACAAGCATTCATTCAAATAATTCACAACATTTTTTAGACTGTTGGAGAATTACTATTTCGAATTGATATAACCAAGTTAAATGATAAAGAAAATAATGTGTTGTTCAATAGAAAAAAGGTAAAATCACAAAAATACTGAACTCCGAGGAAAATTCAAAACGGAAAGTCCCTAATCAAATGGCAAAATCAAAAGCTCAAATACACTAAACGAATGGATAACAACTGTCATATTCCTGACTTGGTACAGGCATCTTCTTATGTAGAAAATGGTGGATTAAACCTGGTTTATTCAATTTTTTAATGAAGTTGTCTCTCAAATATTTATAGGTAGAACATTTTAAAAGAAAATGTAGTTCATCTTCAATATCTCCATTGTTGCATCAAAGACATATCCTACTCTGCTTCGTTAAATTTTAAACATCGCCCTCTTTTAAATAATAAAATATGAGCACTTATCCTTAACTTACATATTGTTGATCTATCATATTGGGATTTGCATTGATCAACATATGAGGGTCTTATATTTGGTTTATACCTTTGATAAGTGTTTAGTATGACGATAAATTTTCACTTTTGTTCTCGTACTAGGAACAACAAAATTATTTATTTTGTAAAAATTATTTCCGTACTCCATGTATACCTTACAACAAAATTGTTTTTAATTAACTGTGTACGTTATTTTATTTGGCGGCATTTTGTCCAAGGTTTT